TCCTGGATCTGACCGCCGCGGGGCGGAGTGGCGATTCCGTTTCGCTGCAAAACTGAAAGAGTCCCGGACGGAAAATTCCTCCAATTTCGCCCCAAAATCACCAAGAACATATCCTACGGGTGTTTTGGAGAGAGAAAGATGAGGGGGCGTAGGGGTTTCTCTGGTGCTGAAGAGGAGAGGGGATTTGCATTTCGGGGTGAAGGAGATTATATATGAGACCGCTTAAAGCCCGACCCAAACCCGAATCAAAACAAAACAGACCCGAAACCTGTAGAAAACTGGGAAATCACGCCGCATCAGGTCGACTGATGTGGTCGACTGATCTGGCGAGAATTTTCAGTTTTGGTGCATGTTCTGTGGCGTTATTTGCAAACCAACACACACCAAACTCGTACACCGCCGTACTCCTTCAATCATCTCAATAACTTGTTATCCATGTACATTCAATGACCTCAACGCTAATTGTATGTAACTAAGAATTATTTATTTACTAATAATTCATATATATTCATATATAAAAATTTACGGGGTTCTACATGGTAGCTCCTGAAATCGTCGGTTCCAATATTTCCAACACTCAGTCGAAACAAAATAAAATGGTCAAATTTCTTTGGTTACAGTTCATAAATCATCGATTTTGAATTCGGCAAAGATATTTGGCGCTTGGTCAATACGAACTCGTGAAATTCAAACAATGAGTTATAGACCATGATATTTGCGCCAGGGTTCAAAACAGACTAAAACAGTCAATAAACCATAGGTTATAACGTATGAAATCGCGATATTTGAACTCCGCCTAATTATTTGCCACTGGACCCAATCGCACGAGAAGGGGTCAATAATCACGGGTTATAGCTCATGAAATTATTCGTTTTGAATTAAGCAAATATTTTGTGACGGGGCATTGAACAAACAAAAATGATCGGAAATCATACGGACAATAGCTCTGGAAATTGTCGGTTTTGACAATTCCGACACCCGGTTGAAACAGAAGAAAATGTCATAATTCATGGGTTACAGCTCATGAATTCGTCGGTTTTGTATTCGGCAAAGATTTCTAGAGCTGGTTAGAAATGGACCGAAACTAACAAAATGTGTCAGAAATAATTGGTTATCGTTCACAAAATCACGAACTATGCACTCCGCCTAATTGTCTGCACCAGGCTGAAAAGGGACGTAAATGGACAACCTTCATGGGTTATACTTAACGAAATCGTGAAATTTGATTCCGTCGAGTCATTTACTGTTGGACAAAACCGTCAAAGTTGGGCAAAAATCGTTGCCTATAGCTCACAAACTCGTGAAATTCAAACAATGGGTTATGACCCATGAAATCACACCCGAGTCGAAATGGACCAAAGCGGTCGGAAAACCATGGGTTATAACCCATGAAATGGCAATATTTGAACTCTGCCTAATTATTTACGCCGGGCCCAAACACACAAGAAGGGTCAATAATCACATGTTATAACTCATGAAATCATCAGTTTTGAAATCAGAAAAGATACTTTGACACAAGGCATCGAACAGACCAAAATGGTCAGAAATCATACGGACAATAATTCATGAAATCGTCTGTTTCTACATTTCCGATACACGGCCAAAAAAGAAGAAAATTGTTAAAATTCATGGGTTGCAGCTCATGAAATCGTCACTTTTGAATTCGATAAAGATTCCTGGCGCCGGGTCGAAACAAACCAAAACTGACAAAATGTGTTAGAAATCATAAGCTATAGCTCACAAAATCATGAAATATGCACTCCACCTAATTGTTTGCACCGGGCCAAAATGGGGCGTAAATAGACATGTTTAGTGGGTTATAGCTCACAAAATCATGAAATTTGACTTCTTCAAGTCATTTGTCGTCAAACGAAACCATCGAAATTTGGCAAAAATCGTGAAATTTGAACAATGGGTTATAACCCATGAAATCGCACTCGGGTCAAAATAGTCGGAAAACTATAGGTTATAACCATGAAATCGTGATATTTGAACTCCGCCAAAATATTTGCCGTCGGGCCCATACACACGAGAAGGGTCAATAATCACGTGTTATAGGTCATGAAATCATCGGTTTTAAATTCGACAAAGATATTTTGACACGGGGCATCGAACAGACCAAAATGGTCAAATATCATGGGTTATACAGCGCATAAAATTGTTATTTTTGAATTCGGTAAAGATTTCTGATGCCGGGTCGAAACAGACCAAAATTGATAAAAAGTGTCAGAAATCATGGGTTATAGATCATGAAATCGTGAAATATGCACTCCGCCTTTTTGTCTGCATCGGGCCAAAAACAGGCGTAAATGGACAAATTTCGTGGGTTATAGCTCACGAAATAGTGAAATTTGACTTCGCCGAGTCATTTGCCGCTAGAGAAAACCATCAAAGTTAGGCAAAAGTCGTTGCCTATGATATTGCGCCCGAGTTTGAAACAGACCAAAACAGTCAATAAACCATAGGTTATAACCAATGAAATCGAGATATTTGAACTCCGCCTAATTATTTACCACTGGGCCTAATCGCATGAGAAGGGGTCTATAATCACGTGTTATAGCTGATGAAATTATCCGTTTTGAATTCAGCAAATATATTTTGTGATAGGGCATTGAACAAACCAAAATCGTCGGTTTTGACATTTCCGACGCCCAGTCAAAACAAAAGAAAATGATCAAAATTCATGGGTTACAGCTCATGAATTCGTCGATTTTGTATTCGGCAAAGATTTCTAGAGCCGGTTAGAAACAGACCTTAACTAACAAAATGTGTCAGAAATTATTGGTTATCGTTGATAAAATCACGAAATATGCACTTCGCCTAATTGTCTGCATCGAGATGAAAAGGGACGTAAATGGACAACCTTCATGGGTTATAGTTAACAAAATCGTAAAATTTGATTCCACCGAGTCATTTGCTGTCGGAAAAAACCGTCAAAGTTGGGCAAAAATCATTGCCTATAGCTCACAAACTCATGAAATTCAAACAATGGGCTATGACCCACGAAATCATGCCTGAGCCGAAACGGACCGAAGCGGTCGGAAAACCATGGGTTATAACCCATAAAATGGCAATATTTGAACTCCGCCTAATTATTTACCGTCGCGCCCAAACACACAAGAAGGTTTAATAATCACGTGTTATAACCAATGAAATCGCGATATTTGAACTCCGCCTATTTATTTGCCACTAGGCCCAATCACATGAAAAGGGTTAATAATCATGTGTTATAGCTCATGAAATTATCTGTTTTGAATTCAGCAAAGATATTTTGTGACGGGGTATTGAACAAACCAAAATAGTCAGAAACAGTACGAAATGGTCAAAAATTATGGGTTACAGCTCATGAATTCGTCGGTTTTGTATTCACAAAGATTTCTGTAGCAGTTTAGAAACAGACCGAAACTAACAAAATGTGTCAGAAATCATTGGTTATCGCTCACAAAATCACGAAATATGCACTCCGCCTAATTATCTGCACCGGGCTGAAAAGGGACGTAAATGAACAACCTTTATGGGTTATAGTTAACGAAATCATGAAATTGATTCTGCCGAGTCATTTGCTGTCGGACAAAACCATCGAAGTTGGGCAAAAATCGTTGCCTATAGCTCACAAACTCGTGAAATTCAAACAATGGGTTATAACCCATGAAATCATGCCCGAGCTGAAATGGACCAAAGCGGTCGGAAAACTATGGGTTATAACCCATGAAATGGTAATATTTGAACTCCGCCTAATTATTTACCGTCACGCCCAAACACGCATGAAGGGTCAATAATCACGTGTTATAACTCATGAAATCATCAGTTTTGAAATCGAAAAAGACACTTTGACACGAGGCATCAAACAGACCAAAATGGTCAGAAATCAAACGGACAATAGTTCATGAAATCGTCAGTTTCTACATTTCTGACACACGGCCAAAAATGATGAAAATTGTTAAAATTCATGGGTTACTACTCATGAAATCATCGGTTTTGAATTC